TCTGGTGCCCTCTTCTGGCCTGCAGACATACACACAGACAGAATATTGTATACATAACAAATAAATACATATTTAAAAAAAAAAGAAAACTCTGTTCCAGTGAGTTAATGCTGGTCTACTGAATATTGAGATGTGAGTTCAAGTGCACTTTTGATATATCCTTTTTTAATAGAGTGCCTGCTTTGTACTGAGAGCTGTTGAGTCTGAAGACAGGAAAAACTCAGTTTATTGCAGTAATTATAAAGCCAGGCATGGTGCCACATGCCTATAATACCAGCACTTAAGGCAGAGACAGGATCGCTGAGCTACCTAGTAAGTTTCTGACTCACTAGCCTACATGATGAGAACCTGTCTCATAAAAAGTGGGGGAGGCAGTAGTGGCACATGCCTGTAATCCCAGCACTCGGGAGACAGAGGCAGGCAGATCTCTGTGAGTTCGAGGCCAGCCTGGTCTACAAAGCAAGTTCTAGGGCAGGCACCAAAACTAAAGAGAAACCTTGTCCCAAAAAAACAAAACAAAATAAAGGCCTTTGAAATGGCTTAGTAGGTAAAGACGTTTTCTGCCAAGCTTGATGTTCTGAGTTCATTCCTGGTCCCACCCATGAAAAAGTTTAACTTTTTTTTTTAAAAAAAAAGCAATAAATATAATTTCAAGTGTATTAGCACTGAGAGAAAAGAAATAGATCGAATGGAGGTGTAAGGGAAGAGGGCAGAGAAGAGTAAATATGGTCAGGGTAGAGGTCTGAACTGGCTTAAAAGGCAGAATAGTAAGTACTAATACTGATTTATAATGCTTTGACCATTAGTCCAGTATTAATGAATCTGTGTGTGTGCGTGCATTTTGTTTGATTGGTGTTTGATTTGTTGTCACTTTGGTGGGTGGTTAAACCCAGTCTTGTGCAAAACATGCCCTTTTCCACTGAGCTACACCTTAACCCCAACAGATTGTTTTGAATAGAGTGTCCTTAAGCAGTATTCAAGTTTGAACAAATGAATATTGTACTACATGTAGAGCTATGTTTTAATTTGCTAATTCAGCGTTTGTGGCAACTTTATAGAATATGTCATCATGAGTAGTGGGAAGTAACAGTAGATACATATATCTTAGTATGTATATTTAAATCTAAAAATCTTTTTTTTTGTTTTGTTTTTTTTTTTGGTTTTTTGAGACAGGGTTTCTCTGTAGCTTTGGAGCCTGTCCTGGCACTAGCTCTTGTAGACCAGGCTGGCCTCGAACTCACAGAGATCCGCCTGCCTCTGCCTCCCGAGTTCTGGGATTAAAGGCTTGTGCTACCATCGCCCGGTTTAAATCTAAAAATCTTAAAAAGAGCCAGAATCAGATCTGGGTTTCAAATCTGGTCCTGGTCATTCATGAAGCCCGTGGCCTGGGAACTGGGCTTGTAGCTCGGTGACTTTCCTAGCATGGCAAAGGCCCTGGTTTCTTTTTTTTCTTTTTCTTTTCTTTTTTTTTTTTTTTTTTTTTTTTTTTTTTGTTGAGAAAAGGAAAAAAAATGTTTCCGCCTCCTCCCTGCCTCCCATTTCCCTCCTCCTCTCCCCCTCCCCCCACTCCTCTCCAAAGGCCCTGATTTCTATATCAGCACTGGTAAATAAGTAATCAGTCTTTGCGTATAAAATTGTTGCAAAATAAATTGGAAATATTCTTGAAAACTTGCCTATGGAAATGTCCATATAATTTACTCCTTTTAACTCCTTCCGTAGAATGGTAGTCGAAGAAGAACACCCGGTGGGGTTTTTCTGAATCTCCTGAAGAACACTCCTAGCATCAGTGAAGAGCAAATTAAGGTAATGACAATGACTGCCCTTGGCTTTATGATGCATCAAAAAGCCAGACTTGTGAAAATACACACTTGTAATCCCAACATGCAGAAGCAGAGGCAGGAGTGTAGGAGGAGGGCCCGCGCACATCCCAGGAAAGATCCCATTTTAAAAGATAGAAGTCAGGCAGGGTGGTGCTTGCCTTTAATCCCAGCACACAGGTACAGGTGGGGGCAGGTGGATCTGTGAGTTTGAGGCAGGACAGCTGTATGAGAGCCTGTCTCAGAAAGAGGAGATAAAAAGATGCACAGCTCTTTTTGGACTTCCTTCCTTCCTTCCCTCCCACCTCCCTTCTTTCTTCCTTGTTGTTGTTGTTTAGTTGTCCTGGAACTCACTTTGTAGACCAGGCTGACCTCAAACTCACAGACATCCTCCTGCCTCTGCCTTCTGTGTTCTGGGTTTAAAGGTGTGTGCCATCACCACCTGGCTAGTCTAGCGTTTTGAGGATTGGTTTTAAGAGCTTGCAGTTGGGCCAGGGAGAGGGTTCAGTGGGTGAAGGTGATGGCCGCTAAGGCGTACAACCTGAGTTTAGTCCTGGGTCCCAAATGGTAGGCCTGCAGAACTGACCCCTGCTAGTTGTCTTCTGACCACATGTGCACAAGCATGCACACACGCAAATAAGTGTAATAAAATTTTCGTCAGGTTTGAGAACTAGGGTATAGCTCAGTAGTGTAGCATGTGCTTAGTTTGCCCAAAAACCCAAGTTCAATAAAGAAAAGAGAAAGACTCTTTTAAATGTCAAATGTAAGGCTGGCTAGATGCCTGCAATGGTAAAAGCATTTGCCATGCCAGACATAATCTGTCATGATGCCGCAACTAGTCTTTTAATTGCCACAATGGTGACAGTCAGTCTGTAGAGCTTGGAAGCCAGAACCAGATTTACTGAGTAGAGCTTTTTGCTTTGGCTTTTTTGTTGTTATTTTGGTTTGGTTTGGTTTGGTTTGGTTTGGTTTGGTTTGGTTTGGTTTGGTTTGGTTTAGTGTGTGTGTGTGTGTGTTGTGTGTGAATGAGAAGGTAGGTTTGGTTTTTGCTTTTGAGACTGGTCTCACTGTGTAGCCCTGGCTTGCCTCTGCTTCCTGAGTGCTGGGGATTAAAGGTGTGCACCACCATGCCCCACCTGCAGTTTCTTTTTAATAAGACTTGCAGTGTTTGGTGGGAAAGGAACTTCATAATCATTTATGTAAGATATTACTAGAGGTTTTTTTTTTAAGCTCAAGATGCTTAATAAATTAAAATGTGCTTCTATATAAAATAAAAATGCATCTTAACCTCTTGAAACCAGGTTGTGATTTCAAGGATTACAGAATTACATACCTGTAATTCCAGCACTTGGGAGGCAGGGGCAGGAGGATGCTCACAATTTGAGGCCAGCCTGGTCTACAGAGTGAGTTCCAGCCTAGCCAGGGCAGTGTAGTGAGACTATCTCATAACAAGCATATATTTACTGGTACTAGTTTTGTGCCTCAGAAAGCATTTTTGACTGTCAGAATTTGGGGTGCCATAGCTACATACTACAAGTAGTGAGTGAAGACTACATATCCAGCCTGGAGTTTCAGCAGTGCCAGTGATAGAAAGCACTGTGCTCTTCAGTGTTTGTTTTGTGTTTTGTTTACCCTGCATGTGTGTATGCATCCCATGTGTGTACAGTGCTTTCAGCCCAGAGGGGAGTGTGTTGGGTCTCCCTGAAACTGGAGTTACAGGTAGTTGTAAGTCAACATGTTGGTACTGGGAACTGAACGCAGGTCCTCTGGACAAGCAGTAAGTACTCTTAACTGCCATCTTTCCAGCTTCTACAATAGTATTCTTTTTTTTTTTTTTTTAATTTTTGTTTATTATGTAGACAGTTCTGCCTGCATGTATGCCTGTAGGCCAGAAGAGGTCACCAGATTTCATCACAGATGGTTGTGAGTCACCATGTGGTTGCTGGGAACTGAACTCAGGGCCTCTGGAAGAGCAGTCAGTGTTCTTAACCTCTGTGCCATCTCTCCATCCCTACAATAGTATTCTTAGATGAAATTGTTACATTTTGCAAATGGCATGTTCTTAAATAGGTCAGTTTAATTTCATAGCACAGGTAGTCATATGTAGTTAAGATGTTTCAAAGTGAGTATGTCTTTAATCTTTTATTCTGGTTTTTGTGTTATCAGTTACAATTTATTTAAATTCTAAACAAAATTTCCCCATGGTAGTTTCTCTTTTAGCAAACAGGTATGGGACGGTGTGTTACAGTAGGATGAGCACGGCCTACCTCACAGTAGATTGGTTGTGAGAAATGGATGGCGATAAAAGGCCTGCCTCGTAATATACTTATAACAAATAATATGGGATGGGTTTTGTTTTGTTATTTTTAGCCAAAGTTGTTTTTATTTCAGGACATTTTCTACATTGAAAATCAAAAGGAATATGAAAATAAAAAAGCTGCTAGAAAAAGAAGAACACAACTATTGGGGAAAAAAATGAAACAAGCTATTAAAAGTCTGAATTTTCAAGAGGATGATGACACATCACGAGAAACTTTTGCAAGTGACACTAATGAGGCCCTGGCCTCCCTTGATGAAGCCCAGGAAGGACCTGGTGAAACCAAACTGGATGCAGAGGAAGCCATCGAGGTGGACCATCCTCAGGATTTGGACATATTTTAGGCACATTTTGGACGTTTTAAGATAAACCTTTGTACAAACATAGTTTCCATTTCTGCTGCGGTTGCTGTGCTGTGCACCGAATCTAGAGAATGGAGAGCTGTTGCTGTTTCCTGTTTGAAGTGAATACGTGTGTGGGCAGTCGAGCGCCATTGACGGTGGTGTTTAAGGTGGCCATGCCTGTCAGGTGTGCAGCACAGGTCTTTATTTCTCATCCTGCTGCCTGTACTGACTTAAGGCCCGGGTCTACCTGCAGTCGCTCTGTCCAGCTCACTGTTTCATGCCGTTAAGAAGCTTTTGTTTTCTGATTTATCTTGGCGGCGAACTATGCTTTGGTTTTAACACATTCCATTAAAATATGCTAAAATATACATAAATTGTTCAGCTCTTGCATCCAATTGTTCCTGTAGGGTGGGCAGAATCTTGGTATGAACCAACTTCTTGTCTTTCTGCTTCAGCCTAAGTAGTGCTAAGATTATGGATTTATGCCACCATGTTTTATTGTTTGGCAATTTTTAAAAAGCTATTTATTATTAGATGGGTAAGAGATGGAGGTGTGGGGCCATGCATGTTGTGGTCAAAGGGCAGTTTGTGGAGTTAGGTGTCTCTTTCCCTTTAAGTGGGCTCTAGGTTGTAAGGCCTGCACTTCAAACATCTATCTGCTGAGCCATCTCACTAACCCCTTTCAGGCACTCGTAAAGACAGAAACAAGTGTGTGGAAGCTGCTTGCCATCTGTTTGTTGAAAGCAAGTAAATAGCAGAAGCTTTTTTCTTTTTTTTTTTTTTTTTTTGAGATAGGATTTTAATAATATAGTTTGGGCTGTTCTTAGAACTCATTGTGTAGACCAGGCTGGCCTCAAATTCGCTAAGTAGCAAATGATGGCCTTGAATATCTGATCGTCCTGCCTCTTCCTCCCAAGTGCTGTGGTTACAGGCGTGCACCACCCCTTGGTTTCTCCAGTGTGAAAGCCTGAACTTAAGGTTCAATCATGCCGAGTTAGTGCCACCAACTGATCTGCATCCTGAGGCTCTAGTCTGCAGACTTTCCCTGTTTGTCAAATCCGCAATGTCTCCAGCTATTCTCATGTTTTAATTGATGATAGTGTTTCTCACAAAGAGACTTAAATAGCTCCGAGCTGCATACAGGATCCTAGCTGCTAAGGGTTGCTGTGGCGTTAGCAGGACAATTGTTACATCAACGGCAGCAGTTTCATCAGAATTAGGCTGTGTGAGGTTCTGAGTAAGAATTCTGTCATTGCTGCCAGTGATGGCTTTGGAAAAAGATGCCTGTCCTGCTTTGCCGAAACTGGACAGGAGCAGCACGGCAGGGAATGCAGCGAAGCCTGCCAATAAGTGAGGACCTCGGGGTTCCGGGCTGCTGGTTTGCTCTTTGTAGTAGAGATGGTGTAGGGCCTCACACAAGCCAGGCAAGTGATCGGCCATTGAGCTTCATCAGCCTCCTCGTTACACCCCCAGGACAGGGTCTTGTGTAGTCCAAGCTGGCCTTGACCTCTTGGCTGAGAATAAGGTGGCTGAGAATGGCCTTGGACTCAGTCTGCTTCTACCTCCAGAGTGCTCGAGGTGCTGGTGAGCGCCACCTACTAGCGTAGAGATGGGACCCAGTCCTTATGAGTGCTAGGCAAGCTCTCTACCACCTACGTTTCATCCCTTGTCCCTGGCAGCCCCTCAATATTGTTACTCTGTTTTGTTTTTTAATTAAAACACCCATTACTTGGATGTGTGTGTGTGGTGTGTGTATGTCCTTGGAGGCTACGAGAGGATATCAGATTTGTGGGGAACTGGAACCATAGGCAGATGTGAGCAGCCCAGGTGGGAGCTGGGAACTGAACCCTTGTCCTCAGGATAGAACATTCAAGTGCTCTTAACTGCTGCAGCCTCTAAGTTGTTTTTTTTTTTTTTTTTTTTTTTTTTTTGAAAATAGGTTCTCTCATATAATACACTCTGACCAGTTTCCTTGTCCTCCATTCCTTCTAACCCCCACCACCTTCCCTTCCTCCTCCTGTTTCCTCATGAGAAAAGAGCAGATCTCCTAGAGAGGACAGCCAAACAGGACAAAACAAGATGAACAAGCCTGGACAAAGCAATCCAATAGGAAGAAGAGTCTCAAGAGCAGGCAAAAGAGTCAGAGATAGACCTGCTCCTACTGTTAAGAGTCCCATAAAAAGTCCCAGCTAAGCTGGGCTGTGGTGGCACATACCTTTAATCCCAGCACTCTGGAGGCAGAGGCAGGTGGATCTCTGAGTTCAAGGCCAGCATCTCTGAGAGATGGCTCAGCAGTTAAGAGCACCGGCTGCTTTTCCAAAGGTCCTGAAATCAATTCCCAACAACCACATGGTGGCTCACAACCACCTGTAATGAGATCTGGCCTGCAGGCAGAATACTGTCTACATAATAAAATCTTAAAAAGAATTCACTTTATTTAAAACAAGTAAACAAAAAACTCCAAGCTAACAGCCATAGCATATGCAGAGGACCAAGTGCAGACCCATGCTGGCCCCATGCTTGCCATTTCGCTTGAGCCCATGTGAGCTCCTTAGTTGAGCCAATGGGCCATGTTTGCCTGGTGTCCTCCATCCCCACCTGACTCATACAGTCTTTCCTCCCCCTTCTGGGTGGGGCAGTGTCTCCTTAAATTACCTGTGCTGGTCTGGAGTTTGTGAGGCCTCTGCCTCTGTTTCCCAAATAGCTGGGATTGCAGGTGTGCATTATCAACTCATGTGAGTCCTGGGTTTTCTGTCGATTTGTTATGCAGTCTGGGACATGCAAGAGCATAGTAAATTTGAGTTTTGTCTTAGCTACTTTTTTATTGCTGTGAAGAGACACTATGACCAAGGCAACTTATAGAAGGAGTTCATAAGAAGCTTATGGTTTCAGAGGGTTAGCCCATGATCATCATGTCAGGGAGCATAGTGGCAGGCAGGCAGGCAGGCATACTGAAACAGCTCACATCTTATAAGCAAGCCCAAGGCAGAGAGAGAGAGAGAGAGAGAGAGAGAGAGAGAGAGAGAGAGAGAGAGAGAGAGAGAGAGAGAGAGAGAGAGAGAGAGAG